GCAAAAATAAAATATGACTAACGCGTAATCCAACAAGTAAGAATGACACCACACAATATGTTATGATTTCTAAGTTCCACTTTCAAATAAAAGTAATATCTATATTTATGTGTTTATATACTTATGTATATTCCCTATATTCTGAACGGTTACCGTGCCGCACAAAACAAAAACAAAAACCGCAATTAAAGGTTACGGCTCTACAAAAAATTGTTCCGCACAAAAACAGTAATTAAAAAGTCACAGCTATCTATATAATGCTTCAACCAAAACAGCGTTAAACTCTACAAAATTACCACACGTGCACAGCGAAAAACCAGTTCAGGTCAGCGTCGGAAAACGAACAGGACGCAATATCGGTAATCCATATTCGGCGGCGGCCTTATCTCAGTGTCAAGGGCGGGGAGACAACAGATGACAACCGATTGTCATATTAATAGCTGGACGGCTGATATCGAGAGAGACACGGGTGAGCGCCAGCCTAGAGCAAAAGGCGGTGCCGTGTCATGACACATAGTTCTTTGCCAAAGTGGCGTGAAACCGTATATAAATTTTCTTCAGCGAAAATCGTCACAAAACCAAAATAACAAAATAACGATAAACAATATATATTTTAAATGTACTTATAAATCGGCGACAGTGTCGATTACTGCGAGTCCGTAAAACGAAAAAAATATCGGTGATCTAAACTGTGCATTGTCACAAAGATTTCTCACTCAACGTATACTTGCGGCGGACCGTCGACGGGCGTACGGTACTAGCTGGACTTTGTACCGTAGTGTCTCGCGCGCAGTATTAGTCAGTCAAACTACCACATACACATAGAAGGGCGATGGCTGATAAAGATGGCCCGGGTCGAAGGGCTCCGTTATCAAGGAGCGTCGCGGAACCGTGTCAATTCTTATTGATATGTGTTTCAGATTTGATTGTTTTATTTGAACATGTGTTTCGTTACTTGTTTAAAATATGTTACATACTCTTTTGGATCTACTTTATAATAACAAATCCAACTTCAAGAAAAATACTTTCAGCAAAAAATATTAAGAATAACAATTCAATTTTTTGTGGAATAACAAATATTTAATTTATGAGAAACGTTTAAATTGATAATAGTCAAACATAAATTTTTTACGTATTCATCATAATTAAAGTAAAAAACATGTATGAATAAGATGTGTGTACTTTTCTAATACAATAACTTTAATGATACTTGTTAAACCATTTATTTAATGATGAAGTTTAAAATGAATAATATATAAAGATCAAGACTAAAATTATTCATTGTAAGGTTTTTACATTGATAAAATAAATATAGTATTGACTATTGTAATTTTAATATAGTCCCACTAAGTTTTATAGGATTTTTTAGCTAATATCAAGTACAAACAGATTGCCTTAGTATTTATAATTAATACCTAAAAAACCATTAATTATACATTTTATTTTACGCTTAGTTATAATGAAAATAGGAACCCCTCTTTCATGGTGGAATAATATTGGATACTTCTTTATCGTATTTCTTTAAAATATTAATAATATTGAAAATTTCAGCTTCCATGCAAAGCATTTCTTAGGTTATAAATTTTTAATTTTCAATTTTATATTGATATAGCATTTTGAAACGAGCTCAAAATGCAAATAAAAAAATTTCTTTTTTCGTAATCAATTTTCATGTTTTTCTAATTTTTTACTTAATATCTTTTTTTTTCAATTACTTATGCCTATACTTTGGGTTAAACAGTATGGTGGGGTAGGTATGTAACCCCTTTAACTGTTCTAATTTTTACAAAAAAAAAGTAACGAGAAAAAAGATTTAACTATCAGCATTAAATATTTTCTTGGTCACAATATATAACAATTTGTATTTCATTTGGTGAAATGAAAATAAAAAATTGAGTCGCCAACTTACTGATTGAGACATAGAGCCGGACCACAATTGGGTTTCAAAGAAAAATAAAAATTATTTTTATTATACTTATTAACTAATTATATATGTATATGATGCTTAATGAGTCTCAACAGTTGAAGTACATCAAGATATTGTAAAAAGTTGTCATACCCCCTTGGTGAGGTTAAGATGACTGTTGCCTATACTTTTTTAAGCTAGAGGAAAATTATTTTTGGAAGGTATTGAAATACAAAAAACACGCGCTTGTTGAAAATTGAGCATGTAAAAATGTTGAGTTTGTGGTTAAGAATAATTGGACTAAATTTGAATGAAAATGAACTAGTTAAGTAATATTAAAAAAAAATTGTTATCAAATAAGTTCTATTAATTATTTATATTAATATCATCTAGTATATTCCAAATAAAACAACGTAAGGGGAAGGTGGTGTATTGTTTTTCAAATATACTGTATTTCTAATCTATAATCATATATAAAAAAGAAAAAAAAATAAGATGCCTTATATGATATATTGTTTCTGTTAATTATTAGAATCTTATATTTTTTCTTTTTGTACAACCAAGACAATTATATATTATCCCATTGAATCTCATTCTTTATAAGTTAGTTAATGTGATTATTTTATATACATTAATATTCCCTATTCTTAATAAAATACATAAAAAAAGGGCAGTAACATTGTTAAGAGATTAAACTCATAAAAACGATAATAAGTGATGAATATTGGTTTATACTATTAAATACTGCAAGTTTTCAATTTCCGCAGACTGTAAAGAAAAATTTGTATTCTTAGAAATAGAATAAAAACATCTTTATATTGTTTGATTTCGAGTGTAACCAAATGTCAATTAATTTAATAAAAGTACTAATATATCAAAAATAAAACGAGATATGACGCCACAGATCAAAATTGCTCAATGATTTTTTTTCAAAATAACTACTAAACAGGTGTTCCTACGTAAAACCACCAAGTAATTTTTTTTTTTTTTTGAAATTAATACTTATTATTTAAAATAAAAAAACATTTTTTTTTAATGTCGAGTATTTTATTTTGCATTAAATAGTATTTTACATCGAATATTCTATCCTATTCTAAATATTTTTTTATTTGATACAGAATATTTCACAATATTTAGAACTAATATTTGGTTTTTATCATACTTTTTCGACTACCACTAGAAATAATTTTTTAATCATTTATTAAATCTAAAAATTATTTTATGTTTTCTAAAATATAAAAAAACGTGGCATAGATGGGTTCTATATATATGATATCTGACAGTGATTAAAATCACTATCATAAAAAACGCTTCGATGCAAATCTATAGATAGCGTTTAATTTAAAAAAAAAAATTGTCAAAAAAGTAGGTCAAATGAGAGCTGAGAAAATAAATGATAGCTACAAAAAAAAAACACATAGTAAAATAATATTAATATTATTTTCTACTCACGAGAGGAGACTACAGTAATGGGATCCTTGATATTTATTGAAGTTATTGAATCTAAATGAGATAAAAATCAAATGAGTTATACATTTTTTTCTAACTCAAAAAGAATTAAGAAAAAATTCAGTGCCACAGGCGTGAAAGACCCAAGTGTTACCTATTCAGAAACTATACGTCGCATTCGTCACTCAATAAAAATGAAAATTTAGCTTATTCAAATTTTAAAGTTTTTTTCTCGACTTCAAAGAAACAAAAATTTAAATATGTTTAACTTTTTATACTATATCGATTAAATTGATATAATATTTATGAATATCAGTGATATCCCCTCATAATAAAATAAAATACAAAACCAAGAATTTTAACAATAAAATAGCATGTTTTTAAATACAGTAGCTATTTTCACCAAGACAAAATAAAGTCCGATTTTTTTTAGCTTCGATGCGAAGCTGAGAAGGTATTGGTTTTACTATGATGTGTTTTTTTTTTTTTTTTTTTTTTTTTTTTGTGTCTGTTACCACTTTTTCTCAGCTCTCACCGAACCGATTTCTTTCAACGATACGTCAAAAGATCACAAATCGTATCTAGTCGAAGACATTACCCTTAAAAATTGAAAAAATTTCCCTCGTTCCCCGTAAATGGGGGAAACCTCCAAAAAAATTACAAATTTAAAAATCGCTAATTTTCGAAATTTTTTCAATTTTTTTTACTAAAAACTGCCGTAACTTTTTCAAAAATGAACATATCAATATAATTTTTTTTTATATAGATGCTTGATGTCTTTACCTATTATTTGGTATATTTTTTTTGTAAATTATAGTAAAATTAATACATTCTCAGCTTCGCATCGAAGCTAATATAAGTATAAAATTTCATTAACATATTTAGCTTTTATGTATAAAAGTGCGATATAGAGAAAGAATAGGATAATTACGAACAATATAAACAACAATCATTTATGCTAGTTAACTTTGTCGCAACATTATGAGATAACATAAAATTTTTGTTTGATTTAAAACAATTTAATTTGAATAGTCCAATAATATCATTTTATACTAACCAGATAATTATGAAAGGCATTGATTTGCTTAGTAAAAGTAATTTCTCAACTATTAGCTAAAAAAACAATATATTATTGTAAAGGTACTTATGGTAAAGGTCCTCTATTCCTCATATTTACACCATTTATTCTAATAAAATTATGATAACATGAGGAATAGAGGGGTTAATCTCCCAACTACTATAATTTATGAAAAATAATTGCCTCCCTCCTCCCAAACAAAACAAATATCTAAATAGACCATAGCTAATAATCAAATAAGATAGTGCCGAGGTATAGCTAGTTCATATCTAGAAAAAAATTATATTACTAGTCATGAAATAATTATGGTACTGAACTGAATTTAACTTTAAAATAATAAATTTAATTTTAGCCCCTTACAAAACCTCCAGGGTTTATAAAAAAAATTAAGTTAAGAATTTAGTGTGAAGTTTTGTTTAGATAGATGCTAGTAATTTAAAATTATATTAAAGTGCAGCAATTATTAAAAATGATGTGATTAAGTAAATACTATTTCTAATACGCAATTTGAAATTTTTTTGTTGGTTACACATGTTAACAAAAAAATTAATTCTACTATCATTTTTATATAAATATATAAAATGTGAATGTAAAATATAATATTCCAATAAATATTTTTTTCATCATTTAATATAATTAATAATACATTCTCGTTCTTAATATCCCTTTAATATTTGTTTTAATAGCAAAAATGGTAAGCAATTCAAAAATTTTTACTGAAATTAAATTAATAATGTTTTGAAAATTGTTTTCAGAACGGTTTCAGAATGATAAGCATTTTAGCATATTTTATTTTATTCGTCAATAAAAGTAAAACTATTTATTGAAAACAAAGTATTAAGTTATTCACTTATTGGAACAAAATTTAACTACTTTTATAATTTAACAGGTTTTGGAATATTAAATGAACAAAATTCGAGTAAGAATAAAATTCAATTGTTATTATACTACTAAATTTGCAATTTTTTAATATCTACTATTAAACCCAATTTAAACTCCATTGAAATGCAATTTTTTGAATGAAATATTTTTTAATATAATACTATATTATTATTTTGATGATATATTTAAAACACTAGGTAAAAATTACCAAAAAATATTTATCATAAATAACTTTTTTTTCCCATACAAATATAAAACTTTATAATTTACTCAAACTTCGAAAAATTTATTGTAAATTTTTTTCATATGATTCAATAATTATTTTTCACCTTAGAAAATAATAAGTATAATAATCATTTTTTCTATATACAACAGTGAGTTTTTTTACTTATTAAAACAAAATTCAAGTTCTTTTATAATTTAATAGGTTTTGGAAAACCTAATGAAGAGAAATCGAGTGAGAATAAAATTCAATTGTTATTATACTATTAAATTTGCAATTTTTTATTATCTAATAAGAACATAAACTTAATTTAAACTCCATTATAATGACATTTTCTGAATCAAATATTTTTTAACATAACGCATTATTATTTTTTAGATCATATATTATATACACCAGGTAAAAATTACAAAAAAACATTTATCACAAATAATTTGTTTTTCCATGCGAATGTTCGTCTTGCTTAATTTACTCAAACACGATAAATTTATTTTAATACGTTTTGTTATTATTATATAATTATTTCTAACCTTAGAAAATAATAAGTATAATAATCATTTTTTCTATATACAATAATGAGTTTTTTTCACTTATTATAACCAAATTTAAGTTCTTTTATAATTTAACAGGTTTTGGAGCACCTAATGAACAGAATTTGAGTGAGAAAAAAATTCAATTGTTATTATACTATTAAATTTGCAATTTTTTACTATCTAATAAGAACATAAACTTAATTTAAACTCTATTATAATGACATTTTCTGAATCAAATATGTTTTAACATAACGCTTTATTATTTTTTAGATCATATATTATATACACCAGGTAAAAATTACAAAAAAACATTTATCACAAATAATTTGTTTTTCCATGCGAATGTTCGTCTTGCTTAATTTACTCAAACACGATAAATTTATTTTAATACGTTTTGTTATTATTATATAATTATTTCTAACCTTAGAAAATAATAAGTATAATAATCATTTTTTCTATATACAATAATGAGTTTTTTTCACTTATTATAACCAAATTTAAGTTCTTTTATAATTTAACAGGTTTTGGAGCACCTAATGAACAGAATTTGAGTGAGAAAAAAATTCAATTGTTATTATACTATTAAATTTGCAATTTTTTACTATCTAATAAGAACATAAACTTAATTTAAACTCTATTATAATGACATTTTCTGAATCAAATATGTTTTAACATAACGCTTTATTATTTTTTAGATCATATATTAAATACACCAGGTAAAAATTACAAAAAAACATTTATCACAAATAATTTGTTTTTCCATGCGAATGTTCGTCTTGCTTAATTTACTCAAACACGATAAATTTATTTTAATACGTTTTGTTATTATTATATAATTATTTCTGATCTTAAAAAAAAATTAGTATAAAAATCATTTCTTTTTCATACAAAGTGATTCATTTATCATAAACCGAGTGATAATCATAACTATTTTTTTTTTTTTAGAATGATTGAGTATCATTCATTAATAATTTATTTTAGATTCTATAAAATAAAAAAAATTATTAGTATAACATGTATCAGTATTTGTTTAATTCATTCTTTTTATCTATAAGTGTATTGACTTAAGTTTTGATTAGCTGCAACATACATATTAAATTAATATATAAATTAAAAAATTAAAATATCAAATTGAGAACGACTCTTTAAACAAATTATTAGTTCAAAACGTATAAATATTTTATCTTTATAGGAAGAAATGTAGTTAGAAAGTATATAGATATTAATTTTATCAAATATATATTTTTATAATTATTATACAATATTCTATTTTTATCATGATTAATAGAAATCTAAATCAATTTTAGAATTTTTTTTTATTAAATGTATTTTTTAATTTATTAAACACTAAGTATTTTTTTGGTTCATTCATTTTTTTTAGGGTGGTGTCAACTTTATTCTTTTTAATGGCAACAAAAATATTTAACTAGCTTAAACAATTATTTAATTAAGAATATGACTAATAGTAACTTTTAGATCAGCACTTAAATAAAAGTTGGGATTTTAAAATATAGAGTGGTGATAGTATGTGGTAGGTGATATTTTTAATACTAGACATTTATTGACCTTATACCATTTAACTATAAAAATGTTAATAACTTTCTATTGTTCTAAAATTTATTGAATAAACTTAACATGATGGCTAGAGGTGATACGCAGAAATTGTTATTTTTATCTCAAGTTATTTTCATGTTATACTCTTACTCATATCTAGTAATAAAAATATCAATAAATTTCGAAATACTGTCTAAATTTCTTATTTTAATTAGGTCTATGTCAGTTTAAAGTATATATTTGTTGTTTTTTATTTAAAATAAAGAGAGATAACAATAAATTAGATAATATAAAAGACGATAACCATGTATAAATAATTAATAAGTAGACGAAAAGATACTGCGCGGAGTTTAAGGGTTGCTTGTAGCGCTAAGTTCTCTCAAAAATAAAATCACCTCCTCTAAAATTATAAGATAAAAGAAATTTTGTTATACTATCTGTAAATTTTAAAAATATATTCTGGAAGTTATTTAATTTAATTTAGTTCCGCCAGCTTTTTTTGGCAGTCTGCATATATTATATTTTCAAAATACAAAAAAAAAATTTAATTTTAGAAAATATTTATGTATTAATAATAATAATAATAATAATAATAATAAGTTTCTAGTACTAATATTTTGGAGAAACTATATATGAATACTGAATACGTTTTTTGCGTTTCACTTTTTAAAAAATATATAGTAAAATATATTTTTTTTTATATAAATATTTTCTTTTACTACATAGTCTAGATCAAATCACAATGTTTCCTTTAAAGTCCTTGAATTAATTTTTAAAATAAATTGTTCTTATTGAATTAATCATTTTTTTCATAAAGCATTACAATCCTCTTAATTTCTAAAATAACTGTTTAAACTATATATATTTTTCAATTTGTAAGCAAATTTAATATTAATTTTATCAATGAATAATTAAAATTAATTTTGCAATGTTAAATAGGTTTTAAAACTAAGTGTACTTTTCAATTTACATTATACTGTAAAATCAATTATTATATAATGAAAAAAAGTTATTTTACTTAACACTTTGTAGATATTTCGAAAGGCCTTGTTAATGTATCATTATGTAAAAATATTATTTAATAATTCATTTACTCAAAAAAAAAAAAAAAATTATAATTGTTATAATTATTAAATGACAAAGTTTACTTATTTAAAAAAATGTTTGTGAGGTTTCTCCCATTTAGTTTATAAACCTTAATACACTTCCATATAAAATTATGAAATGTTGATGAAGAAAATTTTGCAGAATTAATGAATAAAGAACTTAAAACAATTATTTTAAATATTTTATTTATTTTTCATCTAATTTTTCAGATCGTTATGTGCTGAAACTAAGTAATTATATTTTTAAATAAATACTATTAATAGTTTTTTTACATATTAAGAGTAAATATTAAAAAACAGAAAATATTAGAAAAAGCATATCAACTTATTCCTTAACTGAAGATAGTAAATCAAAATTTTCATTTTTATTATCTTAATACTTCAATTTAAATAATTGCTACATAGGCTGTATCTGGTAATTAACATTATATAGTTGGTAAATTAAATTTGATGAATAAATATTAAATAAATAAGAAACAATAACAATATTTATGACAATTGTATAAAATAATCAATCATATCTATAGCATGTAATCATAAACTACAGCACCATAACTAAAACAAAATTGACTAATACTAAATTAATTAAAATAATATCATCAACATTAAAAATGTTAATCGAAATATTGTAATAAAAATCAAAATTATTACAACTAAACACAAAATTTAATTAGTTAAAATCTCGTAACCATGTTGATTTTTTTTTATATTATATTAGAAACTCTTTTTGGAGGTCTTACAGTTAGTACAAAACCTTCTTTCAATGTTTAATTGCAATTTGCCTAAACCTACAATAATACTTGTATGTTTATCATAAACATTATTTTTTCTAAAAAAGTTACTCATCAACAAAAATTAATGATTCTAACCTCTTACAGATAAAAATAAATATTGATTTCTAAAAATTCAATGTCTTCCACATTTCTATTTATAGTACTCTAAACTTTAATTTTACCTATTACATTTAGTCATAAACCTCTACAGACCTGTGCCTTAATACTATGATCAAACATTTTTTTATTATTTTTTTTAAGTTACCTAAAAATCTAAATAGTAAAACTTTTATGTCTGAACCTAAGTCCAGTTTAACAACAATGTTATCATTATTAATACAAACATTCTTTTTCTTAGTATTCCTAGTATAATTTTATCAATGAATAATTAAAATCGATATGGTGATTTATTAATAGGTTTAAAACTAAATATACTTTTCAATTTACATTATACTGTAAATTTCATAATATTGTAAAATCAATATTTCTATGGAAAAAAAAAATGATTTTACTTAACACCTCGTAGATATTGTGAAAAGATTTGTTAAAGTATCATTCTGTACAAATTTTATTTAATAAATCATTCACTCAGAAAAAAAATTATAATTGCTATAAATATAAAAGTTAAAAAAAATTACAAAATTTATTTATTTAAAAAAATTTTAGGGAATTTTTCCCATTTATTTTTGAACCCTAAATACGCTTCCATATAGAATTATTAAATGTTGAAGTAGAACTTTTTGATTTAGATTCCGCAAAATTAATCAATAAAAAGCTTACAATAATAAGTTCAGATATTTTATTTATTTTTCATTTAAATTTTTAGATACTCCTGTACCAACACCAAGTAATTATATTTTTAAATAAATAATATCAATAGTTTTTTACTCAGTTGTACTAAAATATTATTTTAGGAGCTTTACTGACATTTTTTGTAATCATATTAATCAGCTATTAATTAGATCCTTTTTAATCATAAACAAACCTTACCATCTTACCAATATCACCTTGTTTCGTGCTTTATTTATTTAGTATAACTAATAACAGATTAGGTCTTGATGAACAGAGTATATAGAGTATAAGTATGATAAAGGAGTATTTGTGGATGTGATAGAAGAGGTGGACAGTTTTAAGTATTTACTATCAGTTGTGCATAAGAGTGGTGTTATTGATTAGGGTGTATGATACAGGATTAAGTGCGGGTGGTTAATATGGAGAGATGCGTCTAGTGTGTTATGCGATAAAAGAATTCCAATGAGACTGAAAGGTAAATTCAAGTAGAGCAGAGAATGAGTGTAGCTGAAATGAGTATGCTTAGACAGATAAGTGGAGTAACTAGAGAGAACAGAATAAGGAACGAACATATAAGATGAAGTATATGTATAGCATCAATCATAGATAAGGTAAGAGGAAATAGACTTAGATGATTTGGCCATGTTATGACGAAAGAGGAATTGGAAGCTATAAGAATATTTATAGAAATTAATGTTAAAGGAAGACGAAAAAATAGATGGAGCAATGTAATTGAATGCGATATTAGGACGGCTGATGTGAGCATAGATGATGTATATGATCATGTAAAATTGTAGTTTAAGATAAGGGTGGCTACCTCAAGTAGTTAGGATTAAAGCGAGGAAAAAGAAGAAGAGTATAACTAAAAACACTTTATGTTTGTTAAATCATTATAAACATTTATAACTGAAGAATCATATTACATGCATAATTGTATATTATATTATTTGTACATTGAATTCCGATGATATGATTCTTATCACACATACTCAAGCATGTAAATAATTTCAAGTATCATAAAATAAATTACACAGTTTAATTCTTATGAAATAATATATTTATTATAATTAATTATTTTTTATTTTCAAAAATCTTTAATTTATAATAGGACAATACCCTTATTTTTATACACCATATTTATTCCTAATGTTTTTCATTTTTGTAGCTTTTCTGTTTTTAAAATGAAATATTTACTTTTCAGATGCTCCTATGAAGAATACATGTAAATTCTGAAAATATAATTAGTAACAAAATTATTTATCAAATTTATATAAATGTTTAAACCAAAAAAAAATTCCCCCTTATAGGTTCAGCTACATTAAAATTAAGTTCTCTTGAAATATAGAACATCTAATGATAACAAAATCAAATTTTCGTACATTGTTATATATTTTTTTTTCATTATACTTTATTTTAAATTATGTCCCCACAAATTGGATTTGTCAAATAACTTTATATAGGGAAATAATACGAAAGCATAAGTATATTTAT